TAAGATACTTGTTTCCCATTTGTTCCCTTGTTGTTAGAAGATAGATTAGGTAGTAAGAAATGGAAAGACTTTATAATTAATCATGAGTTTTGAAAATAGCTCAATGTTATAATGCTTAAAATTTACTTAAGCAAGTAAAATAACAATAATCTGTAGCTATTTCCTTGAGCACTTGCTGTGGAAGGAATTATGTAAGGCTTTGAAGGGAATGCATAGATCAAAGACAACTTCTGTCCTTGAGTTTTAGATCTCATTGATCTACTGCTCTGTTTATTGGCTTGATTTATATTTAAGAAACAGTAGAGCTGGAAAGAGCCTTTGAAATAACTCAGTCTATCTACCTATTTGAGAAACCAATCACATAAAAATGTTCAATATAATCAACAGATTTTTAAACTACTGCGTATGTCTAAGAATATGATACTTCTGAGGGAATATGTAACTCTGAAATATGATTTGTGTCTTTGAACTTACAACCTAATTGATCTTTCTGAAAACATACATTTGTCTTAGTTTCTATTTTAATCATAGAATATTAAAACTGGAAAAGGCCCTAAAAACAACCCTGTCAGATTCTTTCAGTTGAAAAAACTGTGGCCAGGAGAGATGAAATGATTTGCCCAAGCTTATCTATTTGGCCAGTGACATAATCTGTCTCCCTGCTTCCAACCCAGTAACCTCAACATTAAGCATCTTGCCTTGTTATTTGTCATATGTACAAAGATTAAATACACATAATAAGTGACATTAATAGAAAGATAAAGCAAATATGCTAAAGCTTAACTTCCCACATATAATTTCAAAGTGATTTAGGAAGAACATCATATGAAGTATCTAACACAGTAAGTACTAAAACACGTGTTATTCTTATTACATTAACTTGTTTTATTTTTTTCATAGAATTTACATTAGCTGAACTTATCTTTGTTCATTTGTATGCTTATTGTCTCTCTGTCCCCGTAACCCCCACGATGTGGTGAGAGCAGGGAAGTTGTTTTGTGCTGGTGTCTCCCTTGTCTGTAGGGTGGAAGCTGGCGCAGGGAGTCCTTCACAATGAATAAGGAGCGAATGTCAGGGAAATTGTAGAGTCGTTTAGCTCAGGTCCAGATCCACAGACAGTAGCAGTAGTTAAACATTAGTGTGGGCAGGCATTTTGAAAAACTAAAATAACATTCCTAGGACTATGGTACTAGCCCATCTTCAATCCCTTAAACAAAAAGGGGGGGCTTTATTTGGGCCCCTCAAACAACCCACTTTTCTGTAACGATTGTTCCTTCTTTTCTTAGTGGTCAGCACAGTGCATGGCACAGAAAGGGTGTGTGTTAAATGCCTGTGGAATAAACATAGCCTATAACATGAGGTTACAAGTTCTGGAACATTTATAGTGTCTAAAACACAGGGCAATCTTTCTTACAGCAACATGGGTGTCACGATGTCTGTGGTTGACTTTAAATTTTCTCAGCATAGGCAGTGTGAAGTTCTCTGTGGTTTAATTGGTTCCAGGTATACCATAGAGGCAGCTAGCATTCTAGTAATCAGAACGCACACTCCAGGGGTAGCTAGTAGCATCATACCAGAAAGGCCACGTTCCAGAGATGGAGCTACAAATACTTTAACCACCTTGATCTCTGAAGACACAGATGTTTTACTAATTATCGTAATATCAGAAATGGGTTTTTATTGGCAAAATTAACATCTTATAATCACAATCTACATTAGAAATGAGGTCTAAAAAGAATTCAAGATAGGTGACTTGTTCAACATATTTTAGAAAAGGTTCTGTACTCCTGAATAAACAGTGTCTAAACATTCAAGGAGACCTCCACCTATGGAGATGCCATCTGAGGCCTCGTCCTAGCTCTGTCACTGGTCTCGAAGATTTCTGGTTGCCAAATGCTGATGCTGACGACCACGATGATAACAATCCTGCCCCCCAGCAGTGGTACCTCTGCTGCTCAACTTTCTAGTGCAAAGTGATGGTCGGGCCTCTAGAACTGTGCTCCCCAACATGGTAATCACCAACCATGTGTGACCACTGAGCATGAAAATATGGCTAGTCCAAATTCTAAAAATAAACTTCAGAGAAACCAAGATGGCAGCATAGGTTAATGCCGGAGTTTGCTGCCTCGAACAACCACTTCCAAAATACAACTAAAAGACGGAACGGACATCATCCAGAACCACAGGAAGGCTGGCTGAGTGGAAGTTCTACAACTAGGAGGAAAGAGAATAGCATACCAAGACTCAGAGGAGGCGCAGTGCTGAAGTAAAATACTAAGGTGCGGAGGGGGCTGGCGGCGGAGGGCGTGGTTGTCTGTTTCAATCGGGAGGGAGTCTCCAACTCTGAGCTCCAGATCCGGGCGAGTCTCTAGGGACCCAGACTCAAATGGGACTGTCTGGCTTCAGTCGGAACTCGAAGGCAGCTTTCTCTCTGAGGTTTGCAGCGGTTGCTGGGACTCTGAGAGGCAGAGCCCCTGGGGACAGGACTGAGAGCAGCCATAACAGCTCGTTCCCCGCCCTGTAGATCCCCCGGGACCCGCCCCGCCCAAGCCCTGCACAGAGGCATTTGCGGGATAGCCTTAGGCAAAGGCTAGATTAGCACCGCCCTAGAGATCCAGCACAGAAGTTCTCCCACTGCAGACACAGCTGATTCTCATAGCCAGTTGGCCTGGAGGTCAAATCACCCCCAGTGATACCGACAACAATCAAGGCTTAACTACAACAAGACTGCACACAAAGACCACAAGGAGGTGCACCAAGAAAGCATAAAAAATTCGGAGACAAAGAAACATGACAGAAATGGAGGATATAGAGCTCAAAACCGCACTTTTAAGGTCTTTCAATAATTTTCTAGAAACTGCCGATAATGAGATCTACAAGAAATCTAATGAGACCCTCGATGTTGTGATAAAGAACCAACTAGAAATTAAGCATACACTGACTGAAATAAAGAATATTATACAGACACCCAACAGCAGACCAGAGGAGCGCAAGAATCAAGTCAAAGATTTGAAATGCGAAGAAGCAAAAAACACCCAACCGGAAAAGCAAAATGAAAAAAGAATCCGAAAATACAAAGATAGTGTAAGGAGCCTCTGGGACAGCTTCAAGCGTACCAACATCAGAATTATAGGGGTGCCAGAAGATGAGAGAGAGCAAGATATTAAAAACCTATTTGAAGAAATAATGACAGAAAACTTCCCCCACCTGGTGAAAGAAATAGACTTACAGGTCCAGGAAGCACAGAGAACCCCAAACAAAAGGAATCCAAAGAGGACCACACCAAGACACATCATAATTAAAATGCCAAGAGCAAAAGACAAAGGGAGAATCCTAAAAGCAGCAAGAGAAAGAAACTTAGTTAACTACAAGGGAATACCCATACGACTATCAGCGGATTTCTCAACAGAAACTTTGCAGGCCAGAAGGGAGTGGCAAGAAATATTCAAAGTGATGAATGCCAAGAACCTACAACCAAGATTACTTTATCCAGCAAAGCTATCATTCAGAATTGAAGGTCAGATAAAGAGCTTCACAGATAAGGAAAAGCTAAAGGAGTTCATCACCACCAAACCAGTATTATATGAAATGCTGAAAGGTATCCTTAAGAAGAGGAAGAAGAAGAAAAAGGTAAAGATACAAATTATGAACAACAAATATGCATCTATCAACAAGTGAATCTAAGAATCAAGTGAATAAATAATCTGATGTACAGAATGAACTGGTGATTATAATAGAATCAGGGACATAGAAAGGGAATGGACTGACTATTCTTGGGGGGAAAGGGGTGTGGGAGATGCGGGAAGAGACTGGCCAAAAATCGTGCACCTATGGATGAGGACAGTGGGTGGGGAGTGAGGGCGGAGGGTGGGGGAGAATGGGAGGAGGGGAGGTATGGGGGGGGGGAAAGAGGAACAAATGTAATAATCTGAACAATAAAGATTTAATTTTAAAAAAATAAACTTCAGTTTTGAAGATAGTACAAAATGTAAAGAATCTCAATTTTTCATATCGAGTGCATGTGGAAATGACAGTCTTCTTGGATCTACTTAGTTAAAACAATATTAAAATTACCTTCATTCTGTTTTTAATGTGGCTACTAGAAAATTTAAAGTTACCTATGTGACTCAAATTCTATTTCTATAGGGCAGCACTGATCTAGTACACAACTCTGCCTTCATCAAACTATTAGGACAGATGAAATGCTATTTGTGTCTGCCTCCTTCTAAGTATTTAATACATTTCTGAATAAGGGACAACATTTAGTCTGCTAGTTGCTTTCACTTAACTTGAAGAAACTGTGGGCTCCTTTATCTAAAAGTTTCAGCGACTGTTATCGATTAGAAAGAACCTAAACGTTTTAGATGATGGGATGCTTTGGGTCAGCTGTCATCTGTGAAGTTGTAGACGCCTTGAGTAGGAGTGATGATGACCACGACCATGCAGCTGACAACAGGGAAATTAAGATCGTATTTACACCGAGTTATGTAGTTTTAAAACTATTACGTACATTCACTTTATTCTCACAACAGCCTATTAATTAGAAACCATTAATATTCATTACAGGTCCTATAGTATCCATTTGACTCCACTGAATTACGTGTAACTTCAGACTTCCCTGTGCAGAGCCCAGACACCGTTCCAATGCACCACTTCGGGCCACGCGGCTCGGCCAATCAGAGCTGCGGCTCTCATGACGTCACTCCAATTGCCAGCCCCCACTTCTTTCCGCTCCGCCCTTTTGCTGTTTGTTAGAAGCGACTGGGGGCCATTTTTGATTAGGGCGGAAATTAAATGAAAACTCAGGGTCGAAAGCCTGAACATTACTCTCAAGACGAACTTGCGTATTTAACGGCAGAGCTAATGGAGGAGCCCTGTTCACAGCCCAACAAGCTGCTGGGCGCGGTGAGGGAGTGGCGGGTGGGCACGGCGCCCACACTCAAGATGGCGCCGGCCTGAGCGTCACCCGGCCGGCCGCTCTAGCTCGGTTCCGGGTGCGTGCGCCTCGGTGGTGGCGTCGGCGGGCCGCAGGCTGGCATTCTGTCCGGCTTCCGGATCCGTCTCTATGGTGGCGGAGGGACCAGACCCCCGAAGACTGTGGGTGTAGTGGCCGGAGCCTCACGGGGGAGGCGAGGGTGGTTGGTGCCAACTGGGGGCGAAGAGGGGACCGGAGCCAAGACCCTCGGCCACCGCCCGCTGCCCTCTGGCAGGTAACAGGGCGCCGCGTCCCTGTCCGTGCGGCCCGGGCGCGGGGAGGGGCGGGGAGCGGGGCGGTATGGGCGGTGGGCGCGCGCCCGGCTCGCGGGTCCGCGCTTCGGGGCGAGCTCGGCGCGGCGCCGCTGCCGGTTGAGCCCCGCCAGCAGCCCCCTGCGGCCTGCGGGACGGCCTCTCCGTGGGGCTGGCGGGGGCCCGGCCCGGGGGGAAGCGCGTGGCGGGGCCTCGCGGGCAGGTGAGGGGCCGCCCAGCGACACCGCCCGCCCTGCCCCGAGCGCCCCTGAGCGGCCGCGGCTGGACCCCGTGGCCGGACCCCGTGGCCCCGAGCCGGGCGGGATGGGGCGGGCGGCCGCCCCGAGACCCCGCCTCCACTCTGGCCCCCGAGGCCCGGTGCAGCCTGTCTGTGCGTCGTGCTCTGTATTTAGAATAAAGATGAAACGTTTGTAGGAAAGCACGTGCACCTTCAGAGTCGCCCCGAATTCTGGACTCCCTGGCACCGCCGTTCTTAGGACCCGCGAGCAGCCCCGCCGCGTCTCCTCTCGGCTGAAGTCTGAAGCCGTGGTGGGTCCATCGAGGCTTCGTTTGTATCGGGGACCCCTAGCAGGTCACCCCGAGCTCCAGGCGGGGATGCACCTGAAACAGAGCGGAGCAGAGGACCCCGAGTCACGTTGTCACCAGACGACAAAACGCCGGCCCTGACGGCTGACCTTGGCGCTCACAGCGCAGGCCGTTCGTTATGTTCATTATCCCCGGCTCTCGCCGCCAGGACCCGGAGCCCTCATGTCCGGGCTGATGGGGGAAGCGCAGGGGGAGAGCTGTACCCCAGAGAAGGGGGGTGAGTTGCCCGGTGACCCAGTCCAGAGCTTTGGGGTCCACAGGTGGCCCAGAAACTTGGGGTGCCGCCCGGGAAAGCCAAGGGTGGAGGACGGTGGGCTGATGCGTTTCTCAGGACAAGACTGTGGTGCATCTTCAGGCCAGAAACAGCCTCCGTGATAAAACTCCGAAGCGTGTCGTTGAGGAGGAGAGGGTAGTCTGCAAAGCACTCGTGCGCACAGCACAGGGTCAGCGCGGCCTCCTCTGCCTTCTCGTGGCATATTTTAAAGCCAAAAGAGTTTGTGTTTTCCCCCTCACGCCTCGGAACAAGAAAGAACATTTTAGAAACCCAGGTGTTACTGTGTAACCGTCTCACCTTGCAGTGAGTCCACATGAACCCAATTAAGAATTGCAGTTTTTAAAGCGCTGCTGATAGCAACAGCTTTAGTGTGCCTTAGGATACAATTGTGTGGAAGTTAAGAATTACTGACTTTAAGACATCCTCAAATTGCCGTCAACGGCACATCTTATTTCCCCCTGGACACAGGGTAGAACCCTTCTGTCAGCATTAATCACGTGTTTCAGAAATGGCGTCTTTCTCTTCAGTTCTCTCAAGAAAGGGAGTCATTCCCTTTTAGTTTTTCAGTGATATTTCTTAGGGCTGAGACCCAAAATGTTCACTGCTAAGAAAAATCACCCATTTTAACCTCTTGCTAAAGTGTTTGTGACCCTACGCTGTTAATTATCTCATAGGAGAATTCCTGATACTGAGTCCAAGGTGAATAGATGTTGCAAGGCCCATATTGCCACAAGGACGCATCTGCTGTTTGGAAATGACTAAGTAATCCCTCAGCCAGAGCAGGGCCTGGATCCTGGTGGCCCTCTTATCTGCTGTGGGGATTCATGTGAAAACTACGTAAACAGCACAAGGCAGGTTTTCATTTTCTTGTTGATTTTTCAGGAAGCCTTTGTGGCTACAGGAGTTAGGCCAGCTTCAGGGAGACACTTCAGAGGAACACTTCTCGAACTCATTGCTCTAGTCCGACTGGTTTTGCAGACCAGACGGGAGGTGTTAGAGAAGAGAGAGGAGCGGAGTTCTGCTTATGAAACAACAGCTGGTTCCAAAGAGCACAGACCCCTCAGCTCCCTGAGTGTACCTGAGGCTCCCTGCATGAGGTGGGGCGGGGGATGGATGTAGAATTTGGGGGGAGTAACGTGCCCGTAAGTGCCACTAAGCTCCCCTCCTGATGCCCCCAGGCTTCCTCTGTGCCTGCCAGGTGTCTGCCTCCACGTGGCGTTGGCTTGCCATAGCCAACTGTACCTCATGGCACCCATTTTACCTGCTGATGGACAAAATACCTTTTGTTCATTCAGATTCCTGAGGAGACAACCAGACCACGGGCCCCAGAGATGGCTAATGTGTAGAGATGGCCCTTCTGTGCTGAGTAGACACGTGACCCATTAACTGTCCAAGAAGAGGAGAGCAAGATCCAAGTGCTACCCTTGACCCTCCCTACTCAGCTGGGGTGGGAGTTTTGTCACCGGCTGGGCAGGCACTGCACCTTCTCCGGAATAAGAATTAACATGGTTGCTTTTCTTCATGATCCTACATGCACATTTCTCATCCCCATAGAAAGGGGAATGTTGCATGTAGTTCTTTTAATACTATTTTGTGTTTTTAACGCCTATTCTTTTTTTTCTTTTTTTTAATATATTTTATTGATTTTTTACAGAGAGGAGGGGAGAGGGATAGAGAGTTAGAAACATCGATCAGCTGCCTCTTGCACGCCCCCTACTGGAGATGTGCCTGCAACCAAGGTACTTGCCCTTGACCGGAATCGAACCTGGGACCCTTGAGTCCGCAGGCTGACGCTCTATCCGCTGAGCCAAACCGGTTAGGGCTTAACTCCTATTCTTAGGAAAGGTGCATTGCTAGGTGGGCAGGAACTCAGTGGATTTGTTACAAAGTTGATATCCATCTTTTTTTTTTTTAATTCTCACCCAATATGTTTTTTTACTGATTTTAGAGAGAGAGAAATATCAATATGAGAGAGAAACATTGATTAGTTGCCTTCCATATGTGCCCAGACTGGGAATTGAACCTCAGCCTTTTGGTGTATGGGACAATGCTCCAATCAACGGAGCCACCAGCCAGGGCCTAGCTTCCTTTTTATCTCCAGAAGGTCCCTGGATTTTGAAAGACTTCCGTTTTGGCTAGCCTTGGCCCTTGTCCGTGTGTTCCTTGTACAGTGGTGCACGTGTGTCTCAGACATGTGTCTGGAGTAGCATGACTCCGATAACAGAAGGCGTGTGGGTCTTCACCAAGTAGAGGGACTGTGTGTAATGATTATTTGGTTATATTTATCCAAAGGAGGCAGATTTTAAACTAAAATTTTAAAGGTCTACATAGAGTGTTTGGCCATGCTATCTGTTTGCCAGAATTAGTAAGAACTCTCTATTTTTTAAATTATGGTAAAGCCAGAACTGAAGTCTGCCACTTATTTTTCAGACATGCTGTTTGGCCTATACAGGCATTAATAAATTTTTTTGAGCCAACATTGTAAAACAGGGACATTTCCCCGTAAATACGCTGGCTCTTGCCTCCTCCTGATCAAGGGCACAACCTGGCAACTCTGGGCCTCAGTCCTGGCTGGCACTCAGTGAGGGCGCAGGGCTGTCTCCCAGCAGGTCCTGTGCCCACGCCACAGACCCTGTGCTGCTGGACTGCTGGGCATCACCTGCTGTGACCTTGTGAGCTGTGTCTCTGTTGTAAAGACAGGTCTGGACGGGGCAGGTCCACTGTGCATGTCTGCGTGCGCGGGCATCACCGTGATCTGACACCCTCGGCATAGCTCTGTTCACACTTCAGCATGTTTTTTGTATGCACTTTAGATAGGGATAGGCAGACAGGATAAGTTTCTTTTTAAATCACCTTTACTGAAGTATAATTGACATACAATAAGCTGGACATATTTAAAGGGTGCGGCCGAAACTGGTTTGGCTCAGTGGATAGAGCGTCTGCCTGCGGACTGAAAGGTCCCAGGTTCGATTCCGGTCAAGGGCATGTATCTTGGTTGCGGGCACATCCCCAGTAGGAGATGTGCAGGAGGCAGCTGATCGATGTTTCTCGCTCATCGATGTTTCTAACTCTCTATCTCTCTCTCTCCCTTCCTCTCTGTAAAAAATCAATAAAATATATTTTAAAAAATAATAATAATAAATAAATAAATAAATAAAGGGTACGATTTTACAGGTTTTGACATTTGTAGTCACCCATCACTGTGTTCATTATAATCAAGATAATGTATCCATTCCCCCCAAAGTGTCCTTATACCCCTTTGCCATCCTGTCCCCTCCGGTCCCTCTGACTGGGCCCCCTCACCAGGAAAGCATGGATCTGTTTGTGTTATTACGAGTAGTTTGCATTTTCTGGAATCTCGTGTGTGTGCATGGGGGTGGGGTTAGCATTTGAGATGACAAGTTTGCACTTTCCCCTCATTACTCAGCACAGCACTGAAGAGCAGAGGGACTGCCCTTTTTCTTCTGCTTGTTGTCGTTTGTATTCAGTGCCCTGTCCGTTTCCTGTCCCAGTTCTCCCCTGGGGTTTTACTTGGTCTAAATGAGCTCCCCATTTGTTAACGTGTTTTCATCACTGTTAGAAATAGTCTCTAGTTTGTATTGTTTCCTTTATAATTGCAGTTATTTTAGATATAGAGAAGTTTTAGTACTCCAGTTTTGCAACCCTTTCCCCTGTGAGGCGGGTGTGGGAGTGGGTTAGGGACGGGAGTGACCCTCGTCTGTGTTTGGTTGCCCATCACCCACCCTGAACATCAGGTGTGCGTGCTGGGGGTTGGCGGCAGTTGCTTCACGAACTGTTCAGTTCAAATGCACTTTTTAGAGCTGTCAGCTGATCACTGGCAGCATCGCTGGGACCGTGCCGAGCCTTTACCTTTTCACTGTCAGGTGGCCTAGGTTATTGTAGAAACTGGCAGGTTGGCAAGGCTGCGCCTGGATCCTTGGCTCATGTTGCAGAGACTTGAGGTTTGACCCTGTTCTCTGTTTCCTTTCAGGTCCGTGGCTTTGGGGAGGGGCTGCACGTGGCCCCCCGCCCCAGGGATGGGAGCGGAGAGCAGCGCTCTGAAGAGCTGTGCGCTGAAGGGGCCCCCGGTCACACTGCCCTCGGGACTCGCCGTGTTCCCTGCAGAGCTGCAGGATGGCAGAGTCGCGTCGGTGTTTGTGTACAAGAGAGAGAACGAAGACAAAGTCAACAAGGCTGCCAAGGTACGCAGTGTGGTCTCTTAATAGTTAGTACTTTTTTTTAGAGAGAGGAAGGAAGAGGGATAGATAAAAACATCAATGAGAGAGGAGGTCATCAATTGGCTGCCTCCTGTACTGCCCCCACTGGGGATCAAGCCCACAACCCAGGCGTATGCCCTAATCAGGGATGGAACCAGCAATCTCTTGGTTCCTGGGTCGATGCTCAACCACTGAGTCACACCAGCCGGGCAATAGTTAGTACTTTTTCTATGAAAAATATAAAATGAATAAAGGCCAAGGGAGGTGGGTCATAATCATGGCCTTTAAAAACGTAGCTGTCCTTACTTCATGGGACTGTCCCCAACTTGCATGACATGGTCAAGGACCACAGCGATAGTCAGAAGCTCCAGAAGCTCAGTGCGGTGGCGTCCCATATCAGGTTGTACTTTGTAGCGAGAAGGTTGGGCGGTGACATCATGAGCTCTTCACGGTGTAAGGTGGAGAGCTCACCCAACTCAGCTCAGGTGCTCTAAGTATTGACAGCCTTTCAGTAGTGCAGTGACCGCGGGCCTGGAAGTAATGTTTTAGGGACTGCTATTTTCTCTTCCTGAGGTATCGCAATGCAGCGGGCATTTTAAAGACAATGTTCATCATCCTGTCTCAGATTTGCATCTTAGGAAGAATATTTCTCCCTGAAATTTCATGCTCTCTAGTTTATGGTGTTATATTTCTTTAATAGGATGAAATGATGGCTTTCTCCCTGTCTAAAACCGGCAAGTGAACTCACACTATAGTTAAGAACTACTGCTCTGTGTAATTTAAAGTGAAGTAAATCCGAGGTAGAAGGGTAATAAAAAGTTAAGCCCAAAGGCTTGAGTTAAGTCTCTGTATCCCTGAGTCATAACTTATTCCTGAAACATGGGCCCAGTTTCTCGTCAAGGCTGGCTCTCACTCAGCCCGGGTAAGGATGCATCCTGACCAGTCACTAGTCCCGCTCCTGCTGGGCAGTGAGGTCCTTCCTTACTCAGAGCCCAGCACCAGGACAGCAGGTGGTGGGCCAGTTGTCAGGAACTTCGGGACCAGTGCTTTCAAGGCACTGTCATTAGTCACAGGCACCTTCCTCCCCCAGGACCAGCACTGTTTCTCTCTCCAGTTGGTGCCCGTTAGGAGCCTGTCCGAGTCACATTCAGCAAGGGCACCTTGTGCTCCCTCTGTTCTCTGGAGCAGACGCTAGAATTAAGAAATGTTCCTCTTTGAGTGCTGACTGTGAGCCTTTCCCATGAATCTGTGTGCAGAATGCATGCAGAATTGTGCCAGGGGTGCCCCAAACAGGGTTCTTGCTCAGGATCAGGCAATGAGCGTTTTCTTCCTTCGGTAAAAAACAAGGAGCCACTTTGGACCTAGAATTTTGGTGGGCATGCAGGGTTCAAAATAAACAGAAACGAAAGTGAAATTTATTTTTTCACTTATTAACCAGGTGAACATTTATCAACTGTGTTTCTAGGCCAGCACTGACCAAGTAGCATTCCTTTGGCATATTGTTCTGCCTTGAGCCTGAGAAGAATAAAAGATGGTGCATAAAACCAACAGAAAATAATTAGACCTAAGACAGAAAAGCAAAATGAAGAATTTTCTTTGGAGGCAAAAGTGAAGGAAACTCACCCCTTGGGTCTTCTTCCCAGAGCTGACTCCCCTCTAGTCTGCATGCTTCCCTTTACTTTTCAGAGTCAGGTGGTTGCTTTGGGCACTTTCCAGTTCAGAGCAGTAATTCTCAAGAGGTATGGGCTGTCGGGCTCACGCTGCACAATAGCATTAGACGTCCCTGAAGTGTTATTTAAATGTTGGTAAAGTCGATAAAGTCACAGCAAGTCCAAGATTCTCCTTTGTCTTATTTGACATATGGGGGGAGGGAGGGAGCTGAAAAGGAGCTTGAATGCAAGTCTCCATCTCTTAACTTTCCTGTGTCCTGTATGAATGTGGGTTTGAGTCGTTAACCTCAGACTCTTCTGTTTGTACTTTTAAAGCACCTGAAGACACTCCGGCACCCCTGCTTGCTGAGATTCTTATCTTGCACGGTGGAGGCAGATGGCATTCATCTGGTCACTGAGCGAGTGCAGCCTCTGGAAGTGGCCTTAGAAACACTGTCCTCCCCTGAGGTCTGTGCCGGGATCTACGACATCCTGCTGGCTCTGATCTTCCTTCACGACAGAGTGAGTGGCCTGAACACAGCGGGGGGGTGAACGGTAAATTATGCTGCACATAGAAGTCATAAGTTCCTGTTGCATGGAATTAAGCAGTTAGTGACAGACTATTTCAGTTTACTATTTCAGTTTAGTCTCCCCCAATTCTGGGTAAGTCTTTATCTATAGACTTAGATAAATAAGGCTGCAGCTGTTACTTGTTAATAAAATCAAAACAAAAGTTTAACATCAGGCCTGTGGACCAAAGTTCCTCTTCATTTTCAGCAGTTTTATTCCATTTTCAATTTTGAAAAGAAATGATAATTTCTCAAACACTTGGAGGCTAAATAGCATGCTATTAAACAACGATTGGATTACCAAAGAGATCAAAGAAGAAATTAAAAACATCCTGAAAACACAACAATCCAAAATCTATGGGACACAGTGAAAACAGTCCTGAGAGGTAAGTTCATAGCTCTACAAGCCTACCTCAAAAAACAAGAAAAAAAAAATGGTAATAAAGAGAGCAACAAGAAAAGCCCAGAGTGAGCAGAAGGAAGGAAATAATAAAGATCAGAGTGGAAATAAACAACATAGAGACCAAAAGAACAATACAAAAGGTCAATGAAACCAAGAGCTTGTTCTTTGAAAGGATAAACAAGATTAATGAACCTCTAGCCAGAAACAAAGAGAGAGGACCCAAATAAAATCAGAAATGAAAGAGGTGAAGTAACAGCCGACCCCACAGAAATACTAAGAATCATAAAAAAATTCTATGAGCAATTCTATCCCAACAATCTAGTCAACCTAGAAGAAATGTGACCTTATTCCTAGAAAAATACAACCTTCCAAAACTCAACCAGGAGGAATAAAAATATCTGAATAGGCTCATATCTATGGAGGAAATTGAAGCAGTAATAAAAAAACTTCCAACAAACAAAAGCCCTGGACCAGACAGCTTCACAGCAGAGTTTTATCAAACATTCAAAGAAGAAATAAAACCTGTCCTTCGCAGACTATTTCAAAAAATTCAAGAGGAAGGCACACTTCCAAGTGGGAATAGAGAGACCATACCTCAACATAATAAAAGCCTTATATGACAAACCTACAGCCAACATCATACTCAATGGGCAAAAATTAAAACTATTTCCCCTAAGAACAGGAACAAGACAGGGATGCCCACTTTCACCACTCGTGTTCAACGTAGTACTGGAGGTGCTAGCCATAGTGATCAGACAAGAAGAAGAAATAAAAGGCTTCCAAATTGGAAAAGAAGTAGTAAAATTGTCATTTGCAGATGATATGATATTGTACATAGAAAACCCTAAGGACTTCATCAAAAAACTACTAGAAATAATAAATGAATACAGCAATGTAGCAGGAATCAAAATTAATACCCAGAAATCTATGGCTTTTTATATACCAATAATGAACTCACAGAAGGAGAAACTAAAAAAACAATCCTGTTTACCATTGCAAAAAAAAAAGTAAGATACCTAGGAATAAATTTAACCAAGAAGGTAAAGGACCTATACTCAGAAAATTATAGGATGCTGAAAAAAGAGATAGCGGAAGACATAAACAAATGGAAGACATTAACCTAAGACAAGAAATCATAAAAATCCTAGAAGAAGCCATAGGCAGCAAAATAGCAGACATTTGTTGTAGCAATATCTTTATTGATACAGCTTTAGGGCAATGGAAACTAAAGAGGAAATAAACAAATGGGACTACATCAAAATAAAAAGCTTCTGCACAGCAAAAGAAACCTGCAAAACTACAGGAAAGCCCACTGCATGGGTGAACATATTTGCCAATGTTATCACTGATAAGGGTTTAATCTCCAAATCCTTATGTAAGTTGTATAGGGAACTCATACAACTTAGCAAAAGGAAGATAAACAGTCCAATCAAAAAAATGCCCAAAAGACCTAAATAGACACTTTTCGAAAGAGGACATTCAGAAAGCCAAGAGACATGAAAACATGCTCAAATCATCCAAGAGATGCAAATCAAAACAACGATGAGGTACCATCTCACACCTGCCAGAATGGCTGTCATCAACAAGCGACAAGTGCTGGAGAGGATGCAGAGAAAAAGGAACCCTCATGCACTGCTGGTGGGAATGCAGACTGGTGCAGCCACTGTGAAAAACAGTGGCATTTCTTCAAAAAATTAAAAATGAAGCTTCCATTTGACCCAACAATCCCACTTCTCAGAATATATCCCAAGAAAACAGAAACACCAATCAGACAGGATATATGCACCCCAGTGTTCATAGCAGCTAAGATTTGGAAACAGCATAAGTACCCATCAGCAGATGAGTGGATTAGAAAACTGTGGTACATTTACACAATGGAATACTACGCTGCTGTAAAAAAAGAAGGAATTCTTACCATTTGCAACAGCATGGATGGAACTGGAGAGCATTATGCTGAGTGAAGTAAGCCAGTTAGAGAAAGATAAATATCACATGATCTCACTCATTTGTGGATTATAATGAACAACATAAACTGATGAACAAAAATAGAACCAGAGACAGAGAAGCATTGAATGGACTGTTCAACCTATGAGGGAACGCAGGGGGTGAGGAGGTAAGAGATCAACCGAAGGACTTGTATGCATGCATATGAGCATAACCAATGGACACAGATAGTAGGGGGGTGAGGGCATGTGCTGGAGGGTGGGGGTGGCCAAGGAGAGTACAATGGGGGAAAAAGGAGACTTATATAATACTGTAAACAATAAAGAATTTTAAAAAAATAAAAAAGCAATAATTTCTTAGAGGCAGAGTTTTACACATCTCTTCCCATTCAAGTAGGTTGTACCAGTGAGAGACTCTGTGGCAACGTTTTCAGTTGAGGAATAAAGTGGCCACTCCTGGGTCACTGCTGGGTCGTGTCTAGACGGGTTAGAGTTACTGTTGCTTAGTGGAGTTTACACACTGATGTGGTAGGACCAGCCCCCAAGATTAAAAACACCAGTCACAGGTTAGAAACACTTGCATTTAACTCATCTTAATGTTTGTTTTTAAATTTTTTCCTATTAATGGGAGACTGAGTCTCCAAATATCACTTTGGGTTTATCTTCTCTTAAAAGTGTGTCTGAGATTCACATAGAGGAATTACTCATGCTTCGCTGTGGATATGCCCTTTGATGGAGGAGTGTGTGCACGTGCTGAAGAGTTTGACTAGTGTAGTGAGCGTAAGGTAAAGTCAGCCCTCGCCCTCCTTAAATGCAATGTCCTGTTTCATCCTTGGTGCTCAGGCTTTAATCCGGGAAGTTTGTACGGGTAAAGCGAACCTCTGTGTGCTGGTTCTCCTTCATTTTTTCTCAAATGGAAATGTACCATTCACACTATTCTAAATCTTCCTTTAAAATATATGTACCTTGCGCCTGGCCAGTGTGGCTCAGTGGTTGAGCATTGATCGACCTATGAACCAGGAGGTCACAGTTTGATTCCCGGTCAGGGCACATGCCCAGGTTGCAGGCTCGATCCCCAGAGTGGGACATGAAGGAGGCAGCCAATCAATGACTCTCTGTCATCATTGATGTTTCTATCTCTCCCTCTCCCTTCCTCTCTGAAACCAATAAAAATATATTTTTTAAAATAATAATAAAATAAAATATATATACTTTGGAGTGTTTTATATAGAAGTAGGTACATATTTGCTCTACTGGGTAAAATATTTAAAATGTACTTGTGTCTGGAATGATTTCTAGTTTGGAAAAGAAACCTTTACTTCATCCCCGTTCTCAGGTTCTTCCTCCCTCTGACGTGTTTGTCTGCCCTGCTTGTCTAGTGTGGACTCTGGCTCTGCTGTGCTCTGTGGTGTTTCTGGTCATCCAGAGTATCTCGTTCCTCCTCTTCGGGCGGGATTTTCTCATGCTTACTGGGCTAGGACTTAAGGTGACATGGGTCTGGGTTCCTGATAGAAAGTGGGCAAGAGAGAATTGAGAGATTAAAACAGGAACCTGTGGGAGCCAAGAAACTTGATGTTTAAAGGCATCGGAGGCAAACGCACAGGATGTGAAGATGGGGATTCGGGTTTAGGGATGTGCATCTCCTGACGCCCGTGGGAACGGGATGTGGTATCTGAGCAGTGGCCTCGGTGTCTTATTAACCTGCCAGGCTGGGGGGGAGGGAGTAACAGAAACCCGTCCCTGGCGTCTCCCCTTCCCCTGACTTCAGTGCTGAACAGGCTCCTTCGGCCTCTCATGCCCAAAGTCAGACTTCCACTTAGGATGCCACAAGAGGAAGACTGGCCAGGCCTTTTTCTTGGTGATTAGTATTTAGTTTTTTTAAATTTCTACTTCAAAAATTGGAGTGGCAGTCTTCTTCCTGTTCCTCTTTTCCAGGGCCACCTAACGCATAACAACGTCTGCTTGTCCTCTGTGTTTGTGAGTGAAGATGGGCACTGGAAGCTGGGAGGGATGGAGACAGTCTGCCGCGTCCCCCAGGCCACCCCGGAGGTAAGCGGTGACGGCGCGGTATCAGAACTGGAGAGCGGGCTGGTGTGGTCTCCGCAGGGACCTCCTTCAGTGTGGGGCGATCTTAGGTTTGGAGACGTGACGTTGTTGTCAGTGCTCGTGTCCTAGAATTGTGGGCGTTTATCCTTACGAGGCCACTGGCGTCATTTATTTTCTCCTCATTTTGTAGCTGAGGAGCCTGAGGCTGAGAGTATAATGGCTTAGTCAGATTTTCAGTTTTACGTCCCTCCTCTCTGCTCCTGAAGTTAATGATTCCACGTCATGTTGAACGTTGAACTGACCCGCATGAGTCTGTCTTGGCCGGCGTGACAGTGTCTACACTTATCTTTACAGCTCCTCCCGGATGGTGCTGGCACATATTACATACAGCCTGTTCGAGGCACAATCATCGAGGTTGTCCCAAGTTACACATTATGTCCTAGGAGCTGGACTCAGGGCCTGTGCATCGGAAACCCCCCTCAACCCCCCTCCCCCCAGCCCCCGCGGCCTTGTGGCTGCCTGTGGCGTGTCGTATAATTTGTCCAGCACAGATCTTCTTTCCAACGTCCCTCCTGGGCTGCCAAACCTCTTTTGAGTCTTCTTTCTTGTTTTCACCATGCTGCATGTTGCCAGGAGACTCACTCTTTCTGAGAAAAGAAAGCCCACCTGTCGTAACATCCCCACTGAAGCCTTGCCACCCCCTCACCTCTACCCACCGTCCCCTCCGTGGAGCGTCCGCAGGGGCCTCACCCAGTCCTCACCTTCGTGGGCTCTCACTCATTCAGGTGCCATTTTACCACAAGGACACTCTGATTATCATTCTTGCCCGTTGATCACTTCCTCCCAGACTTCACCTTATACTCAGCATGTAGTGCCTTCGGGGACAGATTCCAGACTCTTCCCCCAGCCGCCCTCGGGCTCCATCGCCGCTCACACTCCCTTGCTGAGTCCCACCCTGAGTGGTCTCAGGTGTGCGGCGCCCTTCCCCTCTGGCTGTGGCGCTGTTGCTGGGCACCCCCTTGCGGAGGGCTCTCTGGGAGATGTGAGGCGCCACAGTGTAAGATAGCTCAGTGTCCCTCCCCAACATGAGTCCCTCTGTGCCTCTGGCCCTCTGCTGTGTGACTGAGACTAGTTCATGTTCTGGGATGAGCGCACCTGCAGGGGGCAGCGAGCTGATTGCCTTCAGTTTCTATTCCTGGTGCCCTGAATGGTGGGAGGGACTTACGAATTTTTGAAAAATAATCTTTATGTCAGTGAAAGAATGTACTGTTCTGTGATTTTGGTTTTCTCTTGATAAGATCCTCAACTTTTTAAAAAATATATTTTTATTGATTTCAGAAAGGAGGGGAGAGGGAGGGAGAGATAGAAACATCAATGATGAGAATCATTGACTGGCTGCCTCCTGCAAGCCCCACCCTGGGGGTTGAGCCCACAACCTGGGCATGTGCTCTGACCAGGAATCAAACTGTGACCTCCTGGTTCATAGGCTGATGCTCAACACTGAGCCACGCTGGCCAGGCAAGATCCTCAACTTTTATAGCTCACGTGGCAGCGAACCTTACAACTGACTCAATGCAGTGAGAAGATGGGTGACAGATCCCCCTGCTGGGGAGCCTCTCACTGGTTTATGTCCTTGCAGGAGGGAGAAGGTTCTGGGTTTGTTTCCATGTGGGACAGCAAGGGTGTCTGTTAGACCAGCTGAAGGGGGACGATGGAACTGACATTTTTTCAGTGAGGAAGTTGAATGTGTATATTTGATGGGTGGCGGTATTGGACGGTGTCGTGGCTACTGTTTCCAGTGCTCGTGGCTTTTGTCGCTTGATGTCATATGGTTCACCAAACATCCACATGAATCCCTCTCTGTACTTTATTTCTGTCTAGTTTCTGCGGAGCATTCAGTCAGTGAGAGACCCGGCTTGTATCCCTCCTGAAGAGACGGTAAGATGCTACATGCCCTTTGTGTAGCGAGTGTGACACTTCACAACAGCCCTTCTCTGCCCACCCCTTCCTTTGCTGAATTACAGAGGCCGAAATTCCGGTGGCCTCGAAGGCTTCTGAGGGTATCTCATCACCAGCAGACAGCCTTTTCTTGACACTCGGCTGACATTTTGGTCCTACAGACACTGGTGACATTGCTTAAAGGTGGAGGGAGCTCACTGATAAGTGAAATCCAAAGAACAAAATAAACAGACAAAAATAGAAACAGACTCATAGCTACAAAAAACAGACTGACAGTTGCAGGTTGCCAGAGGGGAGGGGGTCTGGGGGCTGGGTGGAAACGGTGAAGGGATGAAGAAGTACACATTGGTAGTTGCAGAATAGTCACAGGATGTCAAGTACAGCAGGGGATACAGTCAGTGGTATTGCGGTAACGATGTATGTGCCAGGCGGGTACTAGCAATATCAGGCATCACTTCGTGAAGTATGTGATTGTCTAACCATTGTGCTGTACACCTGACAGTAATACAGAATAATGTGGAATATAAACTGTAATTTAAAAAAAAGAGGGGCCTCAGTTTGGACAAGATAGCTTGGCCTGTCTAGCCATCACTTAGGAATCCGAGATGCAGACAAGAGTGACCATTGCATCTGTGTGCTGGTGAAGGAAACTGTCCTGACCTGTGAAGTCGAAGCAGCTGCTCTCTAGGCTGTTCTCATGACCACTGTAAACAAATACTGATCCCCAGAGCACGTCTGCAGGTGCTTTACAGGAAATGCAAACCCAACTAGAAAAACAAACTTAAATAGAAACCTAAGACTTGAGAAAAATCAGGGTTATCCAAATCAGTGTTATGTGTTCTTCTGATGATAGGTGGGTTTTAAATCAATTTAAGGGTTCTAACTAGCGGGGGAGAGGTGGGGAATAGAAAATATCATTGGGCATCTTAGGTAGGTAGCAGTGTTTAGTACTGTTTTATAAAACTTTTATTTCCATTACGTATTTATACGTATGTGTATACTGATGATAATCTATAATAATAAAAGCGTAATATGCTAATTAGACTGGACAGCCAAACGACCTTCCAGAGGGCCAAGGCAAGCCGCCATGGCTGCAAGGGCCGAGCTCCTTGCACGAATTTCGTGCATCGGGCCTCTAGTGAATAAAATATGTATTGTTTACTCTGGGTTGCTGTCAAACCTATTTTGAAAGCCACAGCCATTAAGAGCCTGTAAACTGGAGTGTGGCAGCCTCTGGTTAGCTCTGAGTGTAGTAAATGCAAAACAGGGAGAGCAGTGGTTTTAATGGCCTCCCCTGCTTCTAGGCTCCAGAATTCACAACTCTGCCAGAGTTGCACGGGCACGCACGGGACGCCTACGCCTTTGGGATGCTGGTGGAAAGGCTGCTCACGGACATGAAGGGACAGGGTGAGTTGGTATTTAACTGCTGCAGCCACAGAACAAGTGGGACCACCCCCAGCCTGCTCTGCGTGGGCTCAGGCCTCCATGGCACGGAGGACCCTATGCTTGCCAGTGGCCTGTGGGCAGATCTGAGCAGCAGAGGAGAGAAGCCAGCCCCAACAAGAACACAGTAAAAGAACCTCAGTAGGAAGCACCTTGAACTCCAGCTGTCAGGATCATGTTACTGTCTTATTAACTGGTGTCGGTGGTGATGGTCTGACCTTTCACACCGGTTGGCGATTGCTGGTTTGAAGAGTTTGAAGCAGCCAGTGAGTGGTTACAGACTGTTATCTGTAACAATCAGATGAGCAGAGTATGGTTCAGAATCTCTTTCTAAGTCAGGCTCGACATGTTTTATCTTTATTCTTTCAGAATCCTTTTGAATTTTTTCATCTTGCTGTAACTGACTCATGACCTTTTCCCTTTGTTGACCGATAAAGCCCAGACTACTGAACAAGCATTTTCCCGAGTCCTCTCATGGCAGGCTTGGCAGCTGTGTCCCTGCCCTGCAGCCACTCCAGGCCTTCAGGGTCTGCCCGTTAAACCCCCCAGTGGCTTGTACCCCACTGCTGAGGCTTCGTGCAGTCCTAACCCAGCCTCTGCCGCCAGGCGGATGCCGCAACCTGGAGTTGCAGGCACCGTCCCGGTCAGCCCTAAACTGTCCTGGCCTCGGCACTCGAGAACGGAACCCTCAGGCCTTGGCAGGCACCCCTGTGGGGAGTGGATCCTGCCCTCCACGGTCAGGAATGGTGACAGTATGTGCCGTCCGTGGGAGAATTGAAAATACCGTCATTCACGTAACTCCATGTTCTGTGGATGAGCCGCCCCAGTTGACAAGGCCTGCACCTCCTTAGGCCCGAGCTGAGTCAGACAATCAGGAATGAGGGGGCGAGGAGGGGAGGCACCTGGGGGTGGCAGGACAATTCCCTGCACCTGCCAGGGAGTTTGGCTTAAGGGCTGGAAGCTGTTTCTGTTTGTTTGGGTTTTACAGGTTGGTTTTTGCTCCTGTCAGTCTCCAGCTAGAGAGGCCCTGAGAGGAGGGAGGAGCCTTGGGAACTAACTCTTGCTCTGGATTTCCGTTTCAGCAGACGCTCTCCTCAGCTTCCGACAGGCCTTGCACTCAGCTCTGCTGAACCCCATCCCACAGCGCCGGCCAGCGCTCTGCACCTTACTGTCCCATGACTTCTTCAGGTGAGGGGCCGGTGGGACGCCTGTCCGCTCTCCGTGAACCAGGGGGGGTTGCGTTGTGTCCACTGGGGAATAGGGAGGTCAGGTCACCTCTCCGGGTCCTGTTGTCAAAAGGCCGGGCCAAGGCATTTTAGCTGAATCCTTAGAGCAGTGGTTCTCAACCTTCTGGCCCTTTAAATACCATTCCTCATCTTGTGACCCAACCATAAAATTATTTTCATTGCTACTTCATAACTGTAATGTTGCTACTGTTAGGAATCGTAATGTAAATATCTGATAAGCAGGATGGTCTTAGGCGACCCCTGTGAAAGGGTCGTTCCACCGCCAAAGGGGTCGCGACCCACAGGTTGAGAACCGCTGCCCTAGAGCATCTGGTGGGGAAGAAGGGAGGCTGCGGCCTGGGCTCAGTTGTAATTGAGAAAGTTAATGAGCATGGCCGCACCTCCTGCCGCCACTGTGTGGTCAGGGTGAGTTTGCTGTTGAAATTTTCTTGTTGGGGCTGGAGAGGAGCTTACTTTTGTTCAGGCAAAGATTGTTTCTGTGTTTAGTAAGACGGGCTGGGGCCGTGGTGGGCTGAGGGACGGGCACAGGGAACACTGTCGCAGGCTCAGGTGTTTCCGAGCCTCTCAAGGTTGGTTTGAGTTTTGCGCCCTTCACTTCTTTATTTCCATGAGCTGCTCAGGTTAATGTCCACGTTCATGACTTTTGTTAGCAAAGCCAACCCTGTGTCAGTTTTGAAACTAAAACTCCTCGTTTGCAGTCGGACCCCGAGAGAAAAGGAGGCGAAGGGAAGCTGATGCTCCCCCAGGGAGCACTTCCCTGCAGGACAGGGTGGGAGCAGCTGTTACTCAGCCAGAGGGCAGTTTCCTTGTAGTTACTGGGTTTTGTCATTTGTTTCCAAGAAACTGCCCAAATCTTTTCCCTTACAGGAGTGTTAGCCAAGGTGTCGCCACGTCCGGCGGGTGATCCATAGTCATATTGTACTTACCCTGATGCAAGGCCATGCTTCACAGGACGAGGTTCCTCATCACTGTGCGTGCGACGTCCTTAGAACTCGCACTAGAAAGGCAGCGGCAAGGGAGAGACTCACACCTGCTCCTCCCAGAGCCGGGGCGGCGTCTCCCTCGGAGGCGTTAGACTCGCTAGGACACCTGGGCTTTTTCTCTGCTGCTGAGCCCTGGGAAGCGGCTGAGGGTGAGCTGTGGGGCCTCGTCCCAGGCCCCTGAGAACTGACCACGCCTCGCCCTCTTCCCTGCCTGGCTGGAAGAGTGACTTACTACGTCTACCGCAGCAGGAATAATAGGCTTCTTTGACGTGTAGAGAAAGCCCCTCCCCACCCCTTGTTCACAGTTTTCGCTTCAGCACAGGCTTGAGGACCATTTGTAATGAGAACCGTTTCTCCCCAGTAGCTCCTCTGACCACATCCCATTGGGGCCTGGATACGGTGTGTCCTCCCACAGGTCTGATTCTCAGTGTCAGGTTTCCTTGTTCCGTAGCATTTGTCTCAGGAGCTGCTTAGTTGTAACGGAGCCTTTTAAATGGTACAGGAGCGTGTTCCTTGTTGAGTTTCTTACAGTGTCGTCTGGTTGTGCTTCAGTGTTTGACATGCCTTCTCTAATCTGTTGTCCCGCATTTTTTCCTTCTTGGCATGTAGGAATGATTTTCTAGAAGTTGTGAATTTCTTGAAAAGTTTAACAATGAAGAGTGAAGAGGAAAAAACTGAATTCTTTAAGTAAGTTCAGAAAGTTAACACTTAAAATTCAGTAACTCGGGCTAAGTCCGTGGAATCGGTGGGTCACACATTTGGTCTGTTACTGAAGGTTATTGGTGTTGCTCCGAGTTAGGCTTCCTGCTGGGCCCTGCAGCCTAGATCTGGTGAGGGAAGCAGGTGAGGGACCGCTGCTTTAGCCTGACCCTAGGCAGTGAAGGCAGTAAACGTGAGGCTCCGTGTACAGAGGCACTGCGATAAGAAAGACCTAAAAGGTAAAATTGCAAGCTCTAGTGACCGTCACCAAGTGAATTGGGATCTGGGCTGAGGACCTCATGTGCAGGAAATGCTGCCGGGATGGGCAGCGTGTCCGTGGGACTCCAGAGGAGATGTGCCTGGGCTCCTGCCGGTGGGTCTGAGCGCAGGAGAGAAGGTTTAAGGTGAAGAGCTGGAGATGACTGTTCGGGTTCATCAGCCTGAAGGTGGTGACACTCTCCCAGAGAAGGTGGGAGCAGGAAAACGACAGTGGGTCCAAATTGTAGCCCCGGAGACCCAACCTCGTCAGGAGCTGGAAGGGAAGGAGTGGCTGACGAGCGAGACACGAGACAAGGGACCGGTGGTCGCGGGAAACTCAGCAGGAAGGAAGGCTGGGCTTCCCGGGAGAGGAGCCTGTCAGGAAGTGGGGTCGGCAGGAAAGCACTGGCAGCTCCTCTCAGGAGCTGCTTCCCCCAGTGAGCGGGGCAGTGACCTCGGAAGTGAAGGCAAGGGGAGGAGGCAGACGTTGGGTAAAACCGCCTGCGTAGTTGGGAGCAGGGAGCACGGAGAGCCGCTGAGGAAGGGAATGGAGTTGAGGTGGATGTTTTTAAGGCGGGAAGAGGAGGGGAGGGGCAGTTAAAGCTGCAGGCATGCCGGGGGCAGGAAGGGGAGGGAACTTGGGGCGGTGGCTGGTGGGTGGCCTTCAGTAAGAGGAGACCCTCACCCTTTGGTACCTGGGAAGGCGGGAGGGATGAGTAGGGATGTGGATAGTGGCCTATTTCCTAGTAAACTGGGAGGCAGGATCCGAGGAGGCTGATGGAATAGCGGGGGCATATTAACATTAATATCCTTCCTAACCAAGGGCTTTTACATGTGCTGTTTGAATCTGGTAAGTTTAGTAACAAAAGCCTGTGCTTTGTTTCCTGTGGGAAGTTTGGATCCTCTAACATCCTCCATCTTTTACATCAGGGAAGCACCTTTTATTGACTCAAAAGCCCTGGCTAAGGGGGGGGACGCTTCTGCTGTTGACGAGGGCAGTGTGCTGGAACATTGCCTCGCTCGGCGTGGAGGTCTGAGTGCTGATGAGCTGGCCTTGCCTCTCGCCTGCATTCTTCTTCCTGCCTGAGAGACCGACCTCGCTCACTTGGGGATGCATCAGCCCGATGGTGTGGGGGTGCCCCGTTCCCAGGCTTCTCTGCCCCGCCCGCAGGTTTCTGCTGGACAGACTCAGCTGCTTGTCGGAGGAGCTGATCGCCTCACGGCTGGTGCCTCTGCTGCTGAATCAGCTGGTGTTTGCGGAGCCAGTGGCTGTGAAGAGTTTCCTCCCTCATCTGCTTGGCCCAAAAAAAGGTGAATTTTTTTCCAAACTGTTATTGGTCATTGAGGAATGTGGGGATTATTAGTCCGTATTTGAGCAGCGAGATTACCGCACGGTGTCGTTAATGTTGCTTCTAGGCCTGGGGAGCAGTATTGGTCCCTGACTCAGACCTGGGTCCCAGAGCCCACAGCATAGACATGGCGTCTCCTGGAGAGTCAGACCCTGTGGTCAGCAGGATATCGCACACGTGTGCACACACATGCACACAGGACTAGCATATGAAAAGCACGTCTTCAGGGACTTGCGCATTTGCAGTGACTTCCAGAGCAAAGATGGAAAAGCACTGAGATCACTTTACTTCTTGGGGCTCCAGGTTTTTTTCGGATTGTGAAATGAGCCTATTGCTTTGAAACTTTGTAACTTTATCAGCACTGTAGATGGCAACATATCAGAGTATAGCTTTAATATGACTAGAATTTTGAGTTGGGGAGAATCCTGCTTTTAGAATTTATTTTCTTAGTCTAAATCCAAGCAAACAGTGTTGCAGGTACTTAACTAGAGTTTCCTTATATTCTCCTTTGATGTCATTCCCTTAGCCATGAACTGTTCGCTAGAGCGCTTCGATCCCATTATTCAGATCTTAGGTGGGGGTGTACTTCTGAGTCACCTGGGGAGCTTTTTAAGATTTTGTCTGTGCATGGTCCCCTGGTTCAGGGGTATTAGACATATTTTAAAGGTTCCCACTTCCTCAACCAGAACAGCTCTCCAGCACCAAGTCTGGTGGTTTCAACACCTTCAGCAGATAGGATTGCAACAACAGTATCAATCTAATGTAGCATATAAAATTCCTCACTGAGTAAGCATAAATGTATAGAGTTATTGATTCCGGATTCTATTAAAAGCTTTCTTTGTAGTACATTAAGAATGACACAGCCCTAGCTGGTTTGGCTCAGTGGATAGAGCGTCGGCCTGAAGGGTCCCAGGTTCGATTCTGGTCAAGGGCATGTACCTCGGTTGCGGGCACATCCCCAGTGGGGGGCATCCAGGAGGCAGCCGATCAATGATTCTCTCTCATCAATGATGTTTCTCTCTCTCTCTCTCTCCTTTCCTCTCTAAAATCAATAGAAATATTTTTTAAGAAAGAAAAAAAAAATGACACAGTATGTTTAAAACACTTCTGTCAGATGGAGTGTATTTATAATTCAGCCTTGAGAGGAAATTCGGGTCCACAAAGCTGCCCTTTGGTTTGGGGCCTGAGGACTTAGCGAGTCCTGAGTGTGTCCGGTTCTCGGCTGAGTTTGTGAGTCATGCTTAGCACCCTTCACTGAAATGGCAGTTTGTGTTTCATCCGTCCCACCTCTGCTCTGGGGTAGACCATGGGCCCGAAGAGACCCCTCGCCTGCTGTCCCCGGCCCTGTTCCGCGCGCGGGTGGTCCCCGTGCTGCTGCAGCTGTTCGAGGTGCACGAGGAGCACGTGCGCACGGTGCTGCTGTCTCACCTGGAGGCCTACGTGGAGCACTTCACTCCGGAGCAGCTGAGGACAGTCATCCTGCCGCAGGTCAGAGGCCGTCGGCGCCCGGGGATCCTGGAGCTGGGAGGCCAGGGCGTGGGCACCGCGGGTGCTGGTCAGCGAGGCTGAAGAAGGGGCTGTGGCTTTCAGAGGAGAGCACAGGAGGCCCTGAGGCAGCAATTAGGTTGAAATTAAAGCTACGTGGTGATCCCATTCGCAAAGGCCAGTCGGTTAAACTAACGGATTTGCTCTGAAGCTGAGAAAACGATAATTGTTTGCTAATTCTTCGGGGAAGAAGAGCCAGCATCCTTGGTGCAATGCTTTGTGAACAGACTGTTCATAATGAGTATAAAATAATGATAACTGAGTGGGACGGATGTTGAGATTCAGGGCTTTTCAGCCTCTGGCTCAGCCACCACGGAGCCTCGTTAGGATTTGCCCACTTGAAGGCTCGGCTTGTGGGTTTCCTGAGTGATGAACAAGTGACTGAAAATGGTGTGGCTTATAACAGGAGACTCCTCTCGGCTCTGGAGGCAGAAGTGCAAACAGGTGTGGGCAGACCCGAGCTTGAAGGCTCCAGGTTCCAGTCCTCCCTCCCAGCTTCTGTGGCTCCTCGGCCTTTCTTGGTGTTGACTGTGTCACTCCAACCTCTGCTTCCGTTGTCACGTGGCCTTTTTATAAGGACCAGGCATTAGGTGTCGGGCCCACTCTAACCCAGTATGACTTCATTTTAAGGTCACATTCTGGGGGGACATGAATTTTGGGGTGACACTATTCAACTCAGTCTGCAGTTTTGTTGGTTTCCTTTCCTGTGCAAAAACTTTTATGTATTTTTTCTTTTGTTGCCTGTGCCCAAGGGGACATATCCCAAAAAATATTACCGAGAGCCAAGTCAGAGTTCACTGCCTGTTTTCTTCTAGGGGTTCTATGGTTTCAGGTCTTACATTTAAGTCGTTAATCCATTTTGAGTTTATTCTTGTGTGTGGAGTAAGGAGGTGATCTAGTTTCATTTTTTTGTATGTATCTGCCTAGTTTTCCCAGTACCATTTATTGAGAGACTGTCCTTACCTCATTGAATATTCTTGCCTCATTTGTCATAGATTAATTGACCATATAGGCATGGGTTTATTTCTGGGCTGTTTTGTTCCATTGATCTATATGCCTGTTTTTATGCCAGTGCCAGGCTGTGTTGATTACTATGGGCTTGTAGTATAATTTGATATCCAAGAGTGTGATACCTCCAACTTTCTCATAGGGTCCTTTGTGAATCCATATAAATTCTAGGATTATTTATGCAAGTTCTGTGAAAAGTGCCATTAGTATTTTGATAGGATTGCATTGAATCTGTGGATTACTTTGTTCAGTGTGGAAATTTTAATCTTAATTTTCCTTACCCATGAGTGGTTGTGGTTGTGGACCTTTGAGAGGTTTTATGCTAATTACAGAGGGAAAGGGAGATGGGGGAGCTTAAAGGGGGTAAGGAGGATAAATGGTGATGGAAGGAGACTTGACTTGGTGAACACACAATACAATGTACAGATGATATGCACCTGAGACCTATATAATCTTATTAACGTCACCGCAGTAAATTCAATAAACATTAAAAACGTCCACAGCACAGGCCAAGGCCAGTGGCTTATGAGAAACAGGCTTATGAGGTTTGGGTCCGGGCAGAAGTTGGGTGGCTGGAGCCTCTCGGAATCAGCAGGGCGAGCCATGAGCCAGGTTGATGGCGACTCAGGCATAGTGCCTGTGCCCGAAGGCTGAGTTGGGGGAGGGCTCAATGCAGGAACAGTGGCACCTGCCAGGACCTGTCTTGGAGAAAGCTGCCTCTCCAGCCCTTGCCCTGAAGTCAGTTGTTTCCCGAGTGTCCCTGGCCCTTTTTGAGCTGCTGTCCCCCTGCTATAACATAGGGTAAGCTGTTGTGAGGGGGGCTGAGCTCTGGTGCCAGCTGAATCCGCCTTTCAGGTGTGTTGTTGGTGGAGCTGTTTGGGTGGTGCTTGGTAAGCCAAGCCACCAGGTGTTTGTGCTGGAGCCTCTTGACCATGTGGGCCAAGGTCAGCCTCCACATGTGCCTGGCTTGGGACCACCTGGTGGGAGCTACAAACTGATCTGCAATTGGTTGATGCTTGTGCAGTGAGAGACTGTGCTGCAGACAGGCCACTGCCACTAGTGCCAGGCCTGGGACCCTTTGGTGAGCACCATGATTGGAGCTGAGGGCAGACGATCACCTGTGCCAGGCTTGTGGCCACTTGGTTGAAGCTGTGTTCCAAGTCAGCACTGGTTGCAGCTGATGCCAGGCTTGGGGCGTCCGATGTGAGCTACCGTGCAAGTTGAGGCCAGTCGCAGCCTGTGTCTAAGGCTTTGGGTAGCGTAGCAGCTGGTGCAGGGCATGCTGAGGCCAGCCCGCTTGTTCGATTTGTGGACCTAGAGATTTTAGGAAAGTCTGCAGCGTGAACTGACACGGGTCACGTGTGTGGAGGAGCTGCTGGAAGAGGTTCCCCGGGGCCGACTTGGGTGGAGTTTCAGGGCCTCACCAGGGAGGTGAAAGGTGTTAGCAGGCTAATGAGACTCAGATTTGCCACATCCATAATGATAGGACTTCTGCTCAGCTAGTTGTCAGGTGGTCCTTAAGGGTGGTGGTCTGTAATTTAACTGTAACTTTGATGTGGTTACAGGAGGAGGCGAGCACAGCATTTTCCTGCCCACAGGTGGCCATTACACCTTCCGTCGTTTTTAAATCCACTCTGCGCTGGATTGGGAGGGGAAATGTTGGTCCTTAACCACAGATAGTATGCCAGCTACGGCCCCAGAACATGTGTCTAAGAAATGAAATTCATCTGAGCAAACACAGCCTGATTGCAGGCAGTGTGGTTGTCGACACTCACTACCCTGTCTGCTCCTAGGTGTTACTGGGCCTGCGTGATACCAGCAGCTCCATTGTGGCAATCACGCTTCACAGCCTGGCTGTGCTGGTCTCCCTACTTGGACCAGAGGTGGTTGTGGGAGGACAGAGAACCAAGGTCTTCAAACGCACTGCCCCAAGTTTTACAAAAACTACTGACCTTTCCCCAGAAGGTAAGAATGATTTAAAAGCCCTCTTTATTGTGTGAAGTATTGTTAGATTTTTAACATTGTACAAATGAAACAGGTGGTTGTATGTAGTCATGACATAGAGAAGTGTAGGGAACAGCTGGTAATTTCCTTCCCAGCTCCTTCTGGGGACAGGAAACCAATTTTAATAGCTGAGTGGGAAGCCTCTCATCCCTTTCTCAAAAGCCACAAAAAGACAAATGTGTATTTACACACACAGCTTTTTATTTTTTAAAATATACTAGTATTTTATTGATTTTTTTTTTTTTTTTTTTTTAAGAGAGGAAAGGAGAGGGATAGAGAATTAGAAACATCGATGAGAGAGAAACGTCAATCAGCTGCCTCCTGCACACCCCCTACTAGGGATCAAGCCTGCAACCAAGATACATGCTCTTGACCAGAATCAAACCTAGGACCTTTCAGTCCACAAGCCGATGCTCTATCCACTGAGCCAAACTGGTCAGGGCTACACACAGTTTTTTTTAATACATTTTGGAAGGAGAGGGGATAGAAACATCAGTGATGAGAAACAATCACTGATTGGCTGCCTCCTGCATGCCCCCTACTGGGGATTGAGCCTGCAAGCTGGGCATGTGCTTTTGACCGGAAGTGAACCCAGGACTCAAGTCCACAGGCCAGTGCTTTACCCACTGAGTCAAACCAGCTAGGGCTTCACAGTTTTTTTAAACGATGAGAAAAACTGTCCACAATTGTACGGCTTGTTTTTTGTTGTTGTTTTGTGTGGGGTTTTTTTCATGTAGCAGTTTATGAGGGACCAGCCTCCAGGTCAGCATAAACTCGAGCTCGTCTTTGTGAAAGCTGCTTTATGTTCCATTGAGTGTAATTCACGCAGTGATCTCCCTGTTGATGGCTATTACACCCATTTCTGGCTTTTTAACCCCTACCCACATATTGCACTAGACGGCCTTAGAAATAGTGTTATTGCTATAGGATCATGTCTGGGAGTAGACTTACGGAGTCACAGGAATATGTGTTATTTAAAATTTTAGTAGATATTGTCAGTTTCCATAAATGCTTTAGTAGTTAAGTTCTTTTGACTTTGTTGGCCCATTAGGTGAAAAGCTGTTGGTGTTTAGGTACTTCAAGAAGCCGTATTTCCGTATGTTCCCACTGGACGTTACCTGGGAGGTGGCAGTCATTTCTGGTCTTTAGAGGCTGTACAGGGTTGCTTCCTGCTCCTTATGTGACCCTGCGTAGGAAGGACAGTGACATCGTGAAACTGGCTAATCCAGTCCTCCCTGATAGTTGGCAGATGCAGGGAAAGTTATTAGAAAAGAGCCATCAGATAGACTAGGCTCTAATTTGATGCCAAGATAATTTTAAAGCAATTCCTGCTTCCCAAACCTTTGAGAGCTCAGACGAGACTGGGTCGGGGGGCTCTGAGAGGACGTAGAACTGCTGCCACCTCTACAGCTGTGACGTGCACTCATCAGACTGGGTGAGGTCTGTGCTGCCAAATAGCAAGTGAGAGGTTGGCAAAGGAAGTAGCCAAAATTGTGTTTGAATCCTTTTGAGCAATGCCAACTCTTGAGTATGAACTTTCTGGCTTTACAGGCTGTAGCTTTTCTAACTAGGTGTCATCCTAAGGGTTCTGTCTCTCTAGTCCAACTGCACCAGGTGGACACTCAGCCTGTCCTCACACACCCCTAGGACAGGCAACCCAGTCCAATACTAGGTACATTTCTCCCTGCACTTTATCTTTTATTTGTGTTAAATATACCCGTTTCCCTTAACTGTTGCTCACCTACCATGTGTGCTAGAGCAAGACAGTTTACCGTCCCTCACTGTTTGGAGTTTCTGTTTATCTTCAGATTCTCCCACGCATGTGGCCTGCAGCCAGCACAGGCAGACCTCCCCCGGCTTGGAGAGCCCCTCCAGGGTATTCCCTAAAGGGTTCTTTCCTGACGACAGGCCCATCGGCAGCAAGAAGCACAAACAGCAAGATTCCTACACCACTCTTCCCCAGACAGGTAGAAATAGTAAGTTTATACAGCTTTTCCATTGCTCGGGTGAACGTTTTCTTGAGTAGTAAGTTTAAATTCTGAAAATTAAGGGCACTTTGGGAACAGTTGAGACTGACTACAAGAGAAGTCAGCTCGGGTGCCACCTTGCCTCTCTAGGCCACAGGGTGACAAACTACCTTTGCTTACGGCTGGCAGAGGGGCAGGTCAGCACTGCTTGAATCTGTTACTACAGACACTTTCTTTACTTTGGACTTTTGAGCCTCAGTGTAGCATTTTCCAAATTGTATCAGAGCAACAGCTCTGGGAGATGACAGGTATGCGCGAGAAAGGTGTGGTGGTTCAGGAAGCCCAGGGACAGGCTGTAGTCACTGCACAGGCTTCTCCAGGCCGAGCACAAAGGCAACTGTTCAAGGGAAGGTACGTTGACTGAGGCAGACTTACTTGGCCACACACACAGTTTGAGGGTGCACATAACTGACATTGCAAGGGTAACATCGGCTGTCTTCACACTTCTATGTTTGTTTATAGATAACTGTGCCCACAGCATTTGTTTATTTAGTAAAAGAAACTCTAATTGTTGCTTTTGTGGTTTAGTGTGCAAGGATATTTCTAAAAACTTACACTGTACATTTCCCTAAATATATTCTTGATTTTAACCAACATTTAGGAGAGTAATTCTTGCACATGTCCCACAGGCGATCGATTTTCTCAGCCCAGGACATTTCCCATGAATGGACTTTCAGACGCGAAAGATACCTCAGGAGACAGTGAAAACTTCCTGCCAAGTCCCCAAGTGTCAGAGGAGTGGCCGGACTGGAGCGAGCCGGGGGAGCCTGAAGGGAGAACTGTGAGCACACAGGTGTGGCCTCCAGAGCCTGCCAGGTCCCCGCCCACGGACTTGAAGGTGGTGCAGACGGGGGACGACCTTAAGCACAGCAGCCTCCGCGATGCAGTGAGCCCGGGAGGTGGAAGCTCTGGTGCCTTGGGGGAGCACAAGGCCATTCCCACTTCTCTTCCGCTCACAGAGGAGGCCACGCCTTTGGCATCAAGCCAACCCCAAAAGACCAGTCCTAGCCCAGCCCGGCCCCCAAAAGTATCATCACGAGAACGGCGCCCTAAGGTTCCATCAGAACTTGGTTTAGGAGAGGAGTTCACCATCCAAGTGAAGAAGAAGCTGGCGCAGGACCCTGAGTTGGACTGGTTTGCTGACATGATCCCCGAAATTAAGCCTTCGGGTGCTGTTCTCGTTCTACCCGACCTGAGGACAGAAACCGTGATCCCCAACACAGATGGTATCTCACCAGGGATGCAGTTTTCCTCAAAATTTGCTGCAGCAGAAATGACTGAGGTAAGGATTCCCTTGTGGGTACCAGCTGCCTTGTCCCCTCCTAACAGACACCTGTGCCCAGTCAAAGCGGCAAGTAAAGTCACTTCCTGTTACCGTCTTTCCTTCCCCAGAAAAATGCAGCAGTGTGGCTAAGTGTTCAGTGGCACTAGTAAATAGTCACCTTTTTACTTGGAAAAGGGAGAAGAGCAGGTGGACTTCATTGGATTAGATGGTGCTTAGAAAGCAATTTTACTTATTTGCACAAGGAACTATAAACTGCTGACCTTTCGAATGTGGAGACGCTGTCCCAGCAGCTGCCCTTGGCTTTATGTCGTTGCAGGCGGAGTCTGAAGGCTGGGGAGATGCCGGGGAGCTGAACTGGGGAGACAGCAGCTGGTGACAATGGCTGTGAGTTAAACTCTAGGAAAAAGGATTCCTTTTTTAAAAAAAAATCAAACTAATACCTCAAAAGCAGGCTCTGCAGACAAGAAAACCCCAAAGCATCCTGTTTTTCTCATACCAGGAGCTTTTCCAGTCTGTGCCAAGGAAGCGAGAGACCCTGGGTGTGGCCCTCAGCTGGGGAAGAGCCTGTGCCTCCAAGGCCGGGTCATTCTGGAAGTAAAGGAAATAAACGCAAGACCTTCCAACTGATTAGCTTAATTCTGTGCCATTTCTTTACCGGTGAGAAGAGTGCGCTCTATTATGAAATGCAACACCTGGAAAACATTTACTATGAAGGACGTAAATGACTTTTAAATCGCTAAGGTTTCCTTCGGCAGCTTATTTATTTGTTTACAGTTATTCCCACATATATTATGTGGACCAAAGTTCTTCATAAGAAATATTCCCCATAATCCTGTTCTCTAAACATCCAATAAAGACTATTTTCACTAGATGCAACTTTACAGAAGTTGTTTTATGTGTTAGAAAATGTATAAACATAATTTACATAAATATTTTCACTTACAAACTACATTGTAGAATGATAGTCATACCCAGTTCTGTCTAGTGATGGTCTGGTCCGGTCCATTCAAGTTTCATCCTGGAGCCCGCGGCGTCTCAGCTCGCCAGTCTTTTCCTGGAGCAGCTGCATCTCTGTGGGGAGCCAGTCGGGAGCAGGGGACTTCTGGAGCAGTGACTCGATTGCCTCCAGGGCCCCCGCTGCGGCCTGCAGTGCTGACCTGTACTCTTCCTCCACAGGGGGCTCGTGGCGGGCTCTTTTGGCACAAGGCTGGCAAACGAGAAAAACGTGGTGGGAATGTCCTACCTGTTCTAAAAACTGCCAAGAACTCTGTCGCGGACTAGAGCAAAGCTTATTAGAACAAGTTCTAAAACTAGTCATTGGTTCACAAGAGCAGCAGCACCGTCCCCTGGAAAGACACGCGCAGGTGTTTTTGTCTGTCAGTGACGCAGGAGCTGACGCCTCCCCTCCAGCACTTCAGTGAGCAGCTCTAGACACACCCAACGTGTCCTACCACAGAGCCCGTTCGATTTATGCTTCCTTTCATGTGAATGCCAAGTTTATAACTACCGCCCAGGAAAAGGGGTTGAGGGCCCCCTTATGCTACTGATAGATATTTAACTTTACAGACTTCAGGCTTAAGAGTCTTGAAAACAAGTTATTAAAACTTACAAGAACGTTGTTGTTCTTGTGGGTTGCAATTCCTAATATACTGTCAGTACTCAAAAAACAACATAAAAAAAACATTTTAAATATCCCTAATGGATACTTAATAATAGGCAGATGTGATTTTGAGGCACTGCCAAAAGTTATTCGGCTGATTTAAAGAACGAGGCAGGGTGTCTGGTAGATAAACACTCTGGAAGGTAAGTTCTCTGGTTTCCTCTCTGGGTCACAAACTGGGAAAGAGGCAGCTACAGGTAACAGGTGTGTCGACAGCGTATTTGGTATGATGTTCAAAGCTTACTCTGTAGTCCTGTTTTTAGGTGTTCAAAACTTTTTAGGGGGGGAAAAATTATTTTTTAGAGAGCATTGAGCATAAAACAGAACTTTACATGTCTAGATCTACTTTTTATATGCAACATGAGAACAAGAACCTACTAGTTTGTTTTGCTTACTCATTAAGTACTAAGAGCAGACTTTCTCTTAAAAAAAAACTTGACCCATATTGTAATGCAATAGCCCATACCTGTGAAGATGACCACTTTGCTTCCTCTGACGTAGCTGTTGCCCAGGATCCCCAGAAAATCCCCTTTTCCTGTTTCACACGCTCCACTCTAGCAGCTCCCGTCTCGTCTGCAAATCCCGTCTGCAGAGATCATGAAAGGCCAGGTAAACAGCCCGGGTGATAAAACTGCTCCCGGTGTTAGGTGACCGTGGTTTAACTATCATTCTCTGAGGCTTCACCTAACACGGTCCCCATGAAAGTGACAAAGGATGCACAGATGTGGGAGCCGTAGGATTGAGTCAAACTAAAAAGTCTGTGTCCTGGTCTGTCAGTGCAGAGAAACCGTGCCTCAGTTACGTCCGAACCACAGCGGTGCACATTAGCATCTATCACGGTCACTAACAGTCGGGGTCCTCACTGCTACAGGCAGTGACTCCACGTGTCTGACTTCTGTGATGTGTCACCACTGTGCAAAAGGTGAAGCTAGGGAGATAACCTGTTTAAAAAGTCACCCGATAAAGAACAGTGACACCATTGTTTTGATTCTGTATAAAATAAAATAAATACCTTCTCCAGAAAGGACACCACTTTGTTCTTGGTTTCTTCAGAACTGAGGCACTGGGGGACTATCTCTTCATTACTTGTTCCCTATTAAACATTGATAAGAAATTTTAATATATTTCAGTAAGTTGAAAAGACACATGAGTTTTAGGGCCACCTTACTCAAAAAAGCATTTTAACCCACTGTATGCCATAAGCGTCTGTAGATGCAAGCGGCAGACCTTCCCCACACGCCACAGGCGTCTATTAAAAATATTGGTCCTAAGTGGCAGCCCTGGCCAACTTTAAAATCATTTTTTGTGAGAATTTTCAGCTGAAAATATTCAAGAACATCCGAATTGTAATATATTTATTTTTATAATATTCATTGCAAATTGATTTTTTTATTAAATTCAAAATATTGTGGCGTGTGGGGATGGTTTCTGTTTTGGATGCATGGTAGTTAACTGGTTAAGAGAAAACAGTGCAGGGGACACTCAGGAGATGATTAGCTCGTAGTTCTTTCAGGTGCCTTAGAGCAATACCCCATTCTGCAATGTATACAGTGGGAAGGAGCCGTCCACGCCAGATCACCTTCTCCACAGAACCAAGTTAATAGGTCTGTGTTCATCAACCTGACCCCAGGATAGTTTGAGGTGGTATGTATTATCGACCAACCCAAAAACTGCATCGAGGAGACTGCCCGGATTAGCAGACCTGGTTAGAATGCCTGTTGGGTTGTTACTACCCACAGGCCCTTAGGAATCACTTCTTGATGCCTCATCTTTAGAAATATCTCCTGCAGCAGAACATTTTACAACTAAGATGCGGAAGCAGCTCATCACTGTTCTGGGGTGTCTGAAATGCTTTGCAGGTCACAGCCATAGGTGGGTCTTACCTCTGCAAACTGAGTAAATGCCTCCAAGGCATGTTGTTCTATCAGCCAGTTCCTGTCGGCCAGCAGCAAAGCAAAAATGGAACACAGGTTGGGCACAATTTTGTCCTAAAGAGAGAACCAAGCAGAGTAAATGCAATATGCGTAATGTTGTATTAAAACACATGCTGGTCCTGTCACTCCTTTGCTCAAGTTTTCCATTTCGCTCGTATAAATCAGGGTCCTGACCTTGGCCGGCAAGCCCGCCGCCTCTGTTCATGACATTGATGCATCCTCAGTGCACCAGACAGACTCCCAGGTCAGAGCCTCTCTACCTGCCTTTCCCCTGCTCCCTCGGCTTGTCTTAGTGTCACCACTGACTGTACCACCCCACTTAGAGCTGTGCCCCATGTCCACATGCTCTCTTCCCTGCTCTTCCCCCACCCCCCCACCCCCAGCACTCACACCATCCCATACACTGCACATGTCACCACTTCTCTGGTCTGCAGTCTCTCAGTGGGGGATTCGTTGGGTTCATTATTGAATCCCCAGTGATTAAAACAGTGCCTGATACACATATAGAAACTCAGTAATTTTTTTTTCTTAAATGAATATATGAATCAATCTTATCTAATGGTTTTAAATGCCTCTCGTTTGCTGATGAATCCCCAAAATTTCTTCAGGCCTTAACTTCACTCCTGGAAATAGATATATTTCTAGAAACATACAAGGTAATTTCTGCTAATAAAAACATCTGTTCTGCCCTGGCCGGTTTGGCTCCGTGGATAGAGCGTCAGCCTGCGGACTGAAGGGTCCCAGGTTCGATTCTGGTCAGGGGCATGTACCATGGTTGCGGGCACATCCCCAGTGGGGGGTATGCAGGAGGCAGCTGATCCATGTTTCTCAGTGATGTTTCTAACTCTCTCTCTCTCTCCCTTCCTCTCTGTAAAAAATCAATAAAATATATTTAAAAAAAAAATCTGTTCTATAGGTCCTGGGCACATTATGGTCCAAATGCAGACGCATTCTTGGAAAACACTCTAATTCTAGAAAGATTTGGCTACTTTTGCCCACAGACTAGAAAACAAACTGACAACAGCTATACTTATCTCTTGAAACACAACCTGATGTGATGGAAACAAATGGAGCAGCATCATTTACCTGGGAACAAAGGAGATAGTCCCTTAGAAACTAACCAGGTAAATTTTTGGGTTGCAAAGATTTTAATCAACCTGTAATGTCAATTATGGTTTTGCTCCATTTACATAAAAGGTCCTCATCAGTGAGCTCGTCTCCCCTGTGGAGGAGGGAAAAGTCAATTGTCTGGAACTGCTGGGTGGTGACGGCAGCAGCAAGGAAGGTGAGGCTGAGGAGGACGATCTCCTTCAACAGAAGTGCACTGCCAGGCCCTCCCAGGATGATGCCATAAATACACACCCAAGTGTCAACTACATATACTTCGCAACATATCCAAAACAAACAGGCTCCCTTTCATGGGTATAAAACCAAAAGAGTAACTTGAGTAAGTTACCCAACTTCCTCATTATACACTATGTTTTCTTTGCTCAGAAACTTTGTGGGCACAAAGAAAATCTCAGACTACGTGTGTGTGCGCGCGCGCGCGTGTCAATATATATTTTTCTGAAAAATAAAATGAGTTCTACTTTGATAGTCACTCTCTATTCATAAAACACATTTCCCCCCCCCCCAACTTTCATTGTAATCAATACAGAGAACTGAAGAAATCAAAAGCCTAAAAATCCCTTAGTCATTCATTCTTGCAGCGTTTTTGTAAAAACGAGAACAGAATGAAGAGTTTTACCTGGATAGCTGGAGATATGAAAAGTTTTCCTAGAGAAGACACAAAATCAAGGACTGCCAAGCGAACATGGTCTGGAGGCTCTAATTTCAGAAGTGAGGCCTGCAGAGTTACTACCTAAGAGGCAAAGACCAAAGAACAGTTATTTTGCAGAAACCTCCTGACTATGATTTTGATGGGCGTTTGGGAGGGGAAACAAAGCAAAACCCACAACAGCCAAACACTCCACAAACCCTAAACTTCTGAATAAAACAAATTGAGTCAGTTACTTCAGCATTCTTCCTACCAACCACTGTGTAAAAAAAAAAAAAAGTTCCTGAAAAAGTATATACCAGTGCTCTTCCTTCAAACCTTTAAAAATTATTTTGTATTTTAAATTCTAGTAAGAGAAGTTCTTTATTATTAGCAGGGGATGGTCAGTATTTTTAGGCTTTGCAGCAACATGTGTTCCCTGCTGCATACTTTATTGTATTTTATTTTATAAACCTTCAAGAAAGTAAAAATCCTTAGCTCTTGTGCTGAAAGCAGGGCAGAATCT